AACCCTAAACCCTAAACCCTAACCGCCGAGCTCAAATAGCAGGCAGAGAGGGGTGGGATGGGGACAGAGAGAATGCGTTCTAGTGAAACTCAAGTGGACAAAGTTAGGGTTTAGGGTTTAGGGTTTAGGGTTTGGGGTTGCAGAGCCCTAAACCCTATAATAACGATGGAGGAGACTCGACCCCGTATCCGCTCTATTGTGGTTTAGGGTTCATTTTTGAGGGTTTAGGGTTTAGGGTTTAGGGTTTAAGGTTGCAGTACCCTTAAATAACAAGCAGCAGCAGAATGTAAACCGCAAAAGGAGGATAGGAGCTGATGAGAGGGGGATCGAGTGTGCGGTCTAGGGTTTAGGGTTTAGGGTTTAGGGTTTAGGGTTTAGGGTTTGTTCCACCTAACACACACAGGCAGCTCTTAGGAGATACGGTTTAGGGTTTAGGGTTTGATGTTTAGGGTTTAGGGTTTTAGGGTTTAGGGTTTAGGGTTTAGGGTTTAGGGTTTACGGGGGCCAGCGTGTAGGTGACCTCGGGGTCACCTCGCACCCAGCANTTAGGGTTTAGGGTTTAGGGTTTACGGGGGCCAGCGTGTAGGTGACCTCGGGGTCACCTCGCACCCAGCAGGGCCTCGATCGAGTTTAGGGTTTAGGGTTTAGGGTTTAGTGTTTAGGGTTTAGGGTTTAATATTTTAGACTTTTTATATTTATAGTTGCAGTTCCAGAGCTCCTTTTTAAGATAAATTGTTTGCTGCTGAGTAGCTGCTCCTGCAGCCCCTTGAGGACCGTAGCCCTTTGAGGGTTTAGGGTTTAGGGTTTAGGGTTTAGGGTTTAGGGTTTTTTGTTTTTTGGGGTTTCCATGTTCTTTTTATCATTTGCATGTGTATACTCCTTATAAACCCTAATAAACCCTAATAAACCCTAATAAACCCTAAACCCTCGATTGTGAGGCTTCTGTCGATCCTGCATTTGTTTTTGGCTGCTTTAAGGGTTTAGGGTTTAGGGTTTAGGGTTTAGGGTTTGTGGTTGTTGCAATGCTGCATTCAACTCAGCCACGGCTCGGGGTGGTTATGGGCAACCCCACCCCCGCACCTGCCTGTACACTCCACCGCGGCTACGGTGGTGTTGCTGCGCTGCTGCAGCAGCTGCAAGGCAGCAGCAGATGCGTGCAGGCCGAAGCTCTCGTCGCTCTAGACTCCTTCTTTAAGGAGGCGGAGCAGTGTGTTGCAGCATACAAAGCCGGTAATCTCTAGGGTTTAGGGTTTAGGGTTTAGGGTTTAGGGTTTAGNAGTGTGTTGCAGCATACAAAGCCGGTAATCTCTAGGGTTTAGGGTTTAGGGTTTAGGGTTTAGGGTTTAGAGTCGAGGGTTTAGCATCGAGGGTTTACGCTCTACCCTCTACGCCGCCTAGACTGGGGGTTCAACGTTTAGGGTTTAGGGTTTAGGGTTTAGGGTTTAGGGTTTAGGGTTTATGGTAAGGTGCAGGTCCGAGCTGAGTCTTGAGTATCGAGGTCACATGCCTTCGTTTGTAGGGTTTGTTTTATCCATTTACTTTTTAGGGTTTAGGGTTTGAGGCTGCGTTGCTTAGTCTAGGGTTTAGGGTTTAGGGTTTAGGGTTTAGGGTTTAGGGTTTAGGGTGTGTTGTGTATGAAAGGCATCGTGCCGCTGCTGATTCAATTTGCTGCTGGTAGGGCGCAGCCCCTGAGGCGGCTAGCTGTGAAGGCCCTGGCGAGGTAAACACCAAGCAGCAGCAGCAGCAGCAGCAGCAGCAGCAGCAGCAGCAGCAGCAGCAGCTTCAAAAGAAGAGAGAAAAGGAAAGAAATAGCAGACGGACGGGCAGAGAAAAAAACAAAAAAAAAAAAACCAAAAAGCAGCAGAAACACACAAACATACATGCACACAAACGAATACACCAAATTGCTGCTGCTGCTGCTGCTGCTGCTGCTTCTGCTGCTGCTTCTGCTGCTGTTGCTGCTGCTGCTGCTGCTGCTGCTGCAACAGGTTCGCTGCACATGACGGGCCGCGTCGTTTGCTGCTGCTGCCTCCTGC